CTCTCCCACAAATGAGTAAAACGAAGACTCAAACAGCCTGCCCTTTATATATTTGGGTCGTCTGGGTTGGTTTTTTTTACTTTTTTGATCGGCAGAACAATATTACATTTTTTAATATTTTTTTTTAAAGACAGTACATTAATAATGAAGGTAGTTTTCCAAAGAAAGGGTACTTTTGTCTACCCCTAAGAAATCACTCAAGAAATCCAACAATTAATATCAAGGTTCGAGATTATGAATGAAAAGGGGAATCAAGCTTTGTGAGGGAAATAGTCCATTTAGTCAGTCGTTTTGATAGGAGATACCTCGCTCAATCCACACTGGGCTTTAGCCCTTTTCAGGTACTATAATAGGATTATAGAAAGGTCATTGGTCTGTTTTGTACATTTTGCTCCCTTAAAATTACAAAGTTCCATCTGACATCTTTGGCTGTTTTGAGTTACTAAGACCATGTGGTCAGAAACCAAATGTTCAGTCTGCTCTATCAAAATCATTAGATTATTTGGAGTCATTATCAAGGTATTCAAAGAATTCCATTCGAAAAAGCTTGACATGTTGTGAAGTTCAAAAAGCTTTGACGTCAGATTTCTCAAAACTAGAACTTGTTTTATTTGGTTTAAGTAGCACGGCTGACACGCTTCCTTGAGCTGAAGAATGAAAAGACAAGACTTGCAAAACAAAGTCCATGACATGTCAGAGATGAACTTCTCTACTCCCCGAGATTCAGAGAACAGAATCAGACCACTTATTACCCACTTTGTCCCACCGACAAAGAAGTTAAGATTAATCCTTTTGTTCAAATCTAAATTGATAGATTAGAACACAGGATAAATGAGTTTTTAGATGGAAATCGCTCCTTTGCGTCAAGCATTAGATTCTAACCCCGTCTAGGCCTCATATTAATCTATCCGAGGCTAGCCGACGGTACAAGCGGCAAACAGGGAGAATCGCTTGCTTTCAAAAACGCCAGGGGCAAAACTAAAACACATGGAAATACTCGTTATGGATATCAATTTCTCAAACAAAACTCTTGCTCTCCTCACTACAGCACACGGACCAGAGACGCTGTAACTATGGTAACCTTAACAATGGTCTGTCTTTTATTTCTTAAATTGAAAAAAAATTCTTTGCTGTCTGTGAACAACTTGGAATCTGATCTGCTTGTCGTTTTCTATTCTCTTTTTTGTTTCTTTTCTGTTGACTACCTCCTTCATAGGGCAAACGACACTGCCAGCGACTCAAAAAAGCAAGATTTGCCGAAGCTGACGTAGCTACAATACCACATACCACTGTCTCATTCGCCTTTGACAACAGACATTTTAAGGCTATTTTCTTATCTTACTTATTGGAGTAATGTAACAGATTATTTACATTGGTACATTACATTTTGTTGTTTTCCTTATGCTTACTTGAAAGCGTGAAATCTTTATGTCATTGTGCAGTCTAAATTCTAATCTTGCGATCGATGGCCTAATGGCTAAAGCAGTAATATACATTCATAATGAAGATTCAATGCCTGGTTGCCTTTTCACTTTGGGACGGGGTTAAAAAACTGACTAAGAACCTTTCAGAGACTTACTTAATTGTACATCTCTCTCTCTCTCTCTCTCTCTCTCTCTCTCTCTCTCTCTCTCTCTCTCTCTCTCTCTCTCTCTCTCTCTCTCTCTCTCTCTCTATATATATATATATATATATATATATATATATATATATATATTATATATATATATATATATATATATATATATATATATAATTATATATATATATATATATATAGGAATTATATATATATATATATATATATATGACACACACACACACACACACACACACATATATGTATATATATATATATATATATATATATAAACATGTATATATATAAACCATGTCAACATATATATATATATATATATATATATATATATATATAAACATGTCAAATATATATATATATATATATATATATATATATATATATAATATCTAACTTAGCAAAGCTATACAAGAGGAAGTACACATTACATTAAGATAAAGGTTCAGGCAGATATTTCGCAATCATTGTTGTTTTTCTTTATTGTGCCAGGATTGGCGGTAATGAAGCTTGTAAAAAACAAACAAACCAAGAGCAACACTCATCTTCCAGGCCTTCGAGCTATTTGTCTCTCGCCGTTTATCTCGTATCAGGTCTCTCCACCTTTCAGACGTCCAACCTATTCCTTCACCTTTGCTCCAGAGCCACTACGTTATCCGTCAGTATTCTCTCCATTCCCCTGCATCTCTTCCCCCTCCCCATTTATTTCCCCACAGCCCCCCTGCCCAACCCTTGCAACGTCAACCTGGGAGAGTTTGATGAAGCGGTAAACTCAAGTCTCGCGTATCGATTGGTCGCCAGTGTCAATCTGCGTAGCCAAAACAACATCATTCTAACGGAGGAAGCAACGTTGTCGACACAGGATTATTTACAACGTGGAAACGATTAGCAGTAATACCCAACGCGCCGAGATGTTTTCTGCAAACACCGTGACGTACCAGTACAGGGGCACCTATTTGCTCTAGCAAATTTGTTTCTACTTTGTTTTCAGACAAGAGTTACAGCAACAATTTAGTCTTTGAAAGCAGTGTCCCCTATTAAGGAACAGGGCTTGATAAGAAACGATCTTCGTGCGATTTATCCACGAACGGTTTGTTCAGAATAATATAATTGCATATGATCAGTAAAGTTGAGATGAAATGGGATGCCGTAATTTATATCTACTGACGACTGAAGGAGAAGAAGAAGAAGAAGAAGAAGAAGAAGAAGAAGAAGAAGAAGAAGAAGAAGAAGAAGAAGAAGAAGAAGAAGAAGAAGAAGAAGAAGAAGAAGAAGAAGAAGAAGAAGAAGAAGAAGAAGAAGAAGAAGAAGAAGAAGAAGAAGAAGAAGAAGAAGAAGAAGAAGAAGAAGAAGAAGAAGAAGAAATAGTCATCGTCATTCCTTAGATACTCTCTCTTTCCTTTTCTCTCTCTCTCTCTCTCTCTCTCTCTCTCTCTCTCTCTCTCTCTCTCTCTCTCTCTCTCTCTCTCTCTCTCTGGGCTAGAATAAATTAATTATAGTAACACTAGATCTAGATAGACATGAGATGATCAGTTGCCTTGCATTGTAACCAATGTAAACTACCGCTCGCTCAGCGAGCCAATCACAATCCAACATTTTTGGGGTCCACCTAGACACCATGACTATATAGTCCCGAATTGGGATCTACCTAGACACTTCCAAACTTATTTTCTTGTAACAAGTTTTGCAAACAAAATAGTGTCCCTGATGAGCTGTGACGTAGGCAATATAATATGCGTATGCAAAATGTGTGAGAGAAGGGGGAATTGCTGTGAACAATCCCATTTTCCGCGTGAAGGAGATTTGTAGTATTTTATATAAATTTAGGAAGAACAGTTTTTAAATCCAGCCTCAATTGTTGTGGGAAAATATGATTAAGTTAAGACAAATTGATACAAACTGCTTTGCAAAGTATGGGTGAAGGTGACTCGTCCGTTTAAGAGATATTTGATGATAAGTCGAATTTTTGATCGCACTATAATTAATTTCTGTTTTAAAGTGGAATGTTTCATTTTTTTAAACTTTTTTTTCGAGCAGTTTTGGGGACATGCAGAAGAAAAGGTAATCTGGACACGTCTTCTGGCCAGAAGGGACAATAGGGTCCTTCTTCATAGCCTTTTCTGTACTTCGAACTTGAGGTTCAACATAATATTTACTTGACACCTGTGACAGCTTTTGTGTCTGACAACTGAGGCGTTCCATTTAAGAGAAGAGAACGACAATGCTACAGGGAGGAAACATAAAGCTAAAGTAAGATAGCTGCGCCAGAGCAAGCCAAACTGGAATTGCTTCAAAGCTTTAGATGGGTCAATGTTGCAGGTCAATTTATATGGTTAGCCTACCCTGCATAGGCTGACCACCACGTTCTTGGCTTGATTTATATTTGCGATATTCTTGTACGCAAAAAATTATGATTTTACCTTGCTTGAAGCTACTTTTTGGGAAATTGATATTCAGTGATAACAAGAAGCGCAACTTCCCGTTTTTCAGCCAAAGCCACGAAGTCAAACGTAATGTCTTTTGAAAATGGCTCCTCTGGCATTTGATTTTATTTAGAAATGGTGCTGGTTATCAGGGACGTCACATGTTTTCCTTGGGTAAAAATTGTGGAGAGTGCTGTGTTCCAACATGTTAAAAGGAAACCATTGTAGTATACTTGAGCGTACCTGTTACTTTAGGAGAGACTCATCTCAGACATTCTCTTATTGCCCTGTCATTTGTGCCGAGACGAGCTGCTGGCTGTAATGATGCAACTGGTTTCAAACTTGTTTATCTCATGGAAGTTTGGAATTTGAATGCTGTAATTTGAACTGTTCTTGTCGTTCACCAAACACATTTCCGCTTGTGCCGTTTTGCTCAGATGAAGCACCAGGTGTGTGTGCGTGTGCGTGTGTGTGTGCGTGTGTGTGTGTGTGTGCGTGTGTGTGTGCGTGTGTGTGTGCGTGTGTGTGTGTGTGTGTGCGTGTGTGTGTGTGTGAGTGTGTATGTGTGTGTGTGTGTGCGAGAGAGAGAAACGGAGAGAGAGAGAGAGAGAGAGAGAGAGAGAGAGAGAGAGAGAGAGTGTGTGTGCGTGTGTGTGTGTTTATGTATGTGTGTGTTCGTGTGTGTTCGTTTGTGTGTTCGTTTGTGTGTTCGTGTGTGTGTATGTGTGTGTGTGTTTGGGGGGGGGGGTGTGCGTGCGTGGGTGGGTGTGTTAGTGTATTAGACGGATTGTGTGCCATTTGAGGTGGTGTACTATCTGCAATTGTCAGCTGCAGATCTAATAAATTCCTCCCCGGGTTATTTCGGGGAGGGGAGGGACATTAAGTTATGAAAACGAGAAAAAAATGGAACAGACAATAAACGAAATAAAAACATCCCTCCTTGTGGTTCATTCCACTTCCCGCCATTGTCCCTTCCACAGAGACGCCGCTACCAGACACGGATTGCTACTGCTAGCCAAGGTTCCAACTGCGAGAAAAGGATGATTATGGAGTTCCGGAGCACTGAAAATTATGGCTGCGAGGAAGTCTGAAGCTTGCAGAACAACGCCTGTATACATAACAGCATTTTAAGTGTAAAAAGTGAACACGATTTTTGTTGTATGTACTGTTGTATCCCTGTTTTTGGAAAGAGTTTGTTTTTGAGAAGCCCTGAACTTTCTGTACAGCTTAGGACCCCTTTATGTTTTATGTTGTGATCTGCTGCCTATGATGTATGACGATAATAATACGATTACTGTAAAACTGGCTTCGTGAGAGATGTTTTGGTTTTCTAGAATTTAAAGATTAGAGCTAACCCGAGACGATATTGTAAAGAGTAAAAACTCTTCTGGGTTGTTTTTTTCGTTCACTGCGATCATCGAAAGTGTTTTTATTTTATGAAATGTCCGGGGAGGAGGAAGAAGGGTTCAGAGCAGAACGAATGATGATTTGTAAAAAATGTGGCGAAAATTAGGACTGGCAAGACCGACATGTATTTATCTCAAATTGACAAGCAGCGTTTTGTTACATGGTCTCTCTAATATTTAAAGCTGCTCCACTTTTCTAGACTGATATTCTAGATTCATCTTACTGGAGTGTTTTTTTTTCCGAAGACAACATTCAGGTGTTGTTCAGCTCTTAGTGTGTTACCACTCGTAAATATTAGGATAACAAAATGGGTGGATTAAAACAATTTCTTTTGCTTGTAGAAGCTCTCAAAACAAGTTGCCTCTTTTGTGAACAAGACTCAAATCAGACTGGCTCTTCTTGTCAACAATTCCCTTAATAGCACTAAACATCAAAGCAATTTTTATAGCAAGTTAACTCATGGTGTTAGAAACCTCTTTTCAAAGGTCGAGCGTAATTGATGTCTAAACTATTTCCAAAATATTATCTAGGAAATTCTTTTTTGCGATATAATTCACGCTTTTCAGATGTGAGTTGGGTGCCAGCACTTGCTAGAGAAAACCTGAGACAATCTATCTTGTGTTCTGTCAAGAGCATGGTATATTGCCTCATTTGTTCTGCTCAGAGCTGTGGAGAGCCGGATCAGCTAAGGTGTTAGGGGACATGGACTTATAGGCCCCGAGGGAAATATACTGTAAATAATTAGCATGTTCATGACAATGTGCGGTTGTGGGCGACGTAGTTCAATGTTTATGAAACGTTAGATTGATACCATCAGTTGTGATGAGCTTTCATAGGGATTGGGACTGAGAAGCAGACTTGTTTGAGAAATCTCTCTTACACACACACACACACACACACACACACACACACACACACACACACACACACACACACACACACACACACGCACGCACAAACAAACACTCTCTGTCTCTGTCTCTGTCTCTGTCTGTCTCTCTCTCTTTGTCTGTCTGTCTCTCTTTCTTTCTCTCTCTCTCTGTCTTTCCCACTCTCTCCCTCCCCTCCTCTCTATTTACCAATCTCATCATCTGCCTGCCTGTCAGTGTGTCTATCTGTTTGTCTGTCTCCATGAACTCTGCATCTCCAACAGTGTCTCAAACTATCCTTTCCATCTGTCTGTCTCACTTTCCCTCCCTCCTTCATCGCTCGTTGCTCGTATTAACACGTGTGGCGAGGTACCCAAGGAAAGGAAACTCCGTACATGAGTCATGAGTGTGTGTCCGTGCTTTAGCCATAATAATATGATTCATAATAATTCTAATCCTATGTTTCTAGATCTATGTAAATGTTGGAATGTCTACGAACCGATGTCGGGTGTTATGAGTGCACGTGACGCTGTATGTATGTGAATCCATTTTAGCATGTATTCTCTCTCTCTCTCTCTCTCTCTCTCTCTCTCTCTCTCTCTCTCTCTCTCTCTCTCTCTCTCTCTCTCTCTCTCTCCCTCTCCCTCCCCCCCCCCCTCTCTCTCTCTCTCTCTCTCTCTCTCTCTCTCTCAGTTTAGTTTAGCTGAGGTTTTACGCGCTCTCAACTGCATAAGGTCATATGTGCGCCTGAAGATTAAGTGTTAGAAGAGATTAACAAATATAAAAAAGAAGAAGGGGAGATAAGAACGATAGATGTTTAATAGGAAAGAAGAAGCAAACCACACCAGAGCACCCGCCAACCTCCCCTCTCTCTCTCTCTCTCTCTCTCTCTCTCTCTCTCTCTCTCTCTCTCTGTGTGTGTGTGTGTGTGTGTGTGTGTGTGTGTGTATGTGTGTAAGCGTGTGTCTGTAAGCGTGTGCGTGCGTCTATCTAGGTTTTGAGAAATGTAGTTAATAGTATACGCATTTGATATGCATATGACTTCAAAATGAGACAAGCATATTTGAAGCTTTCAGGTACTGTTTTCTGTCATAAATCAAAATCGCACATCCAGGTTTCAAACACATATCAAGGAATGTCATTAAAATCAAGATAGGCACACACGTAGCTGGTAGAGCATTGACCTAATTGGCCAAAGTTATCTGTTCCTTTAACCTGCAATTATGTGACACATACGTTATTCAAAGAACGTATCATCTTAGTCATCAACACTTTGCAAAGGATGCCTTACATGGTATCGAGAAAAAAGTTCAAGTTTTGTGATCCCCGTGCAGTTTGTAGGGCAACCAACTGCTATGTGTTTGAAGCATGGCTCTGCCGTCGAAAAATAAAAAGGAAAAGAAACATTCTAAATCTGGAGCAGCTTAAACTATAGTAAGCTCGCTTTTTGCCCGCGTGTAAGAGAGGCACTTTGCATTGCACCAAAATATTATGATATTATTTTGCAGTCTAATGAACTGTGAGAAGCTTGGCAGGGAATGCTGGTGGTGAACATAAAGACAATAGACTCTGTGAGCCTAGTGAATTGTGCCTTACCGACACAGTCGTCCGCACTTTGGGGAATTATCATTGACAAAAGTTTAGTTGTTGCAAAGAGTTCTTCGTACTAAACGTTCTTTAAAGCTTACTGAGTTCTCTATCGAGATGCTGCTCTGCACTGTTCTTGCTTTCGGCGTACTGTGCATTCGGGCAGGTGTTCAACAATTTAAGACTGTTTTCTCTGTGTCAGATACTTTTTACACCCTCACTCGTCTTCATTTTAAGTGCTTGGGCTGCAAATCTTAATTGCATGGATTTGTTTCTCTTTCCAACAGGATGATTATTCAGTGTGGAAAAGGAAACTTTCATTTTTAAATGACGTACTATATCTCGTTCATGCATGAAGTATTTGGTCTCTTATAATCTATCACCAGGCATTATACTGAGATTTCTTTTGGGATTTGAGACGGTGAGACCACAAGATGAGGTTGGTCAAATCAAAAGCGTATTATATATGTATTGTTGGAAAAACGTCAGAGAGCAAAACTTTCAAGTAACCATTCTTCAACAGCGTCACCCGCCCGTGCCTGCATGTTTCCTTTTTCGGAAATGCTAATACTTTTATCTATATTATATTTATGTTGTCTGCCATTCTGACTTAAACATTTTATGAATCCTTGTTGTCTGTCAAATTTTGTTTGTTTCAAATTCCCCTTATTGTTTGAACATGTTTTCAAGAGAAACCTTTTTATAAAGCCTCGTATTGAGAAAACCAAGCCAAGTTTCCTAGAAGATGGCAATGTTTTGCTTTATAAACAGTCTACGTAGTGATCAAAATATCTAGTCAGCATACTTTCTGCAGAAAAATAATATGACAATCTTACTGTTCATTGATTTCTATTATTTTATTTTTTTATATTTGAGTACATTACAACAGTAAGCCCCGCATACTAATCGATCCATTTTTTCAGTTACAAGTGTCTGGGTTTTTTTTGTTTTTTTTACTTCAGACCATCATATCTCTGACGTCATTCGGAAACGTCTCCGTGACGTCATCTGTCGATTGCAAGTTATTGTTGTCTGTAAAATTGTGTTGTTGTTTGTTTTTATTAATGGAAGGACGAGTTCCATATTTTTTTCTTTCTTTTTTTTTCTTGTTTCTTTCTTTTTATCTTTTTCTTTCTTTCTTTCTTTTTTTTTTTGGTTACTGGCAATTCATAAACTGAACTTACATTATTGTGATGCTTATGCCGTTAAGAATAAATGTTACTGATTGTCCTTGCTGTTTTTATTACATGTAATTCTGCTGTACCGGCTTTGTAATAAAGTCCCTAAAAAAAGGTATATTAGTTTCTTTTTGTGACAAAGGTTTGCATAAGGAGCGTTTAAGATGGATAAGGAGGAATGTAAAATAATTAAAAGTGTCACAAGTTCAAAATGTGACAGTTTGCTTATTCTATACTCCGCAGATTAAGTCAGTTATGCACAAAACATCACGGAAATCGATATTATTGATGGATTGATTGGTCAAGTTTCCAAAAACTAAACGTGAAGGTCAACAACAGCCAGACATAAATCCGGCTCTGTGCATTTTGTATAGCTTGAGAGATGTTTTTTGAGTTCAACCCTTCTACTGTGCTCTATTTTTGTTTGTCTGTAAAATCAGGACCTCTAGTTTAATATGAATTGGATGTACCCGAACTACTCTGCACGTCAAGGTCATTGAAATTGTTTATGTGCCTGCGTGTACAAAAAGAGTCCTCTCAACCTTTCATTTTCATTTGCTTCCTGAAAGACTGGGTAGGTAATAATTCAGCACGGCTTTCAACACAGAAATGCTTTAATTATGTAAACGGATCTCCAATCGAAACCTATGTTTAATTGGCCTGGGTGAATTGTGTTTTTGTCGGTGAATTCTCTCAAACAATCCAAAGTTATAATATTCCCCATTGAGGATGCAAGCCAGACTTCACTGCATCCAGTCCGCTATGACACCAATCAGCTAAATGCGCACCATCATAAAATCCTAAGCTGGGCACCAGAGCCTTCTCCTCCTCTTCATCATCATCATCATCATCATCATCATCATCATCATCATCATCATCATCATCAACATCATCATAATGAGAGCATTTTCAGATGAAATAACCTCTGTGATTGTTTGCTTTGAATGATTCCTCAAAAACGGACGTGGGTGACGAGAGGCGTTCGCTGACAAATTATATGTAGAAAAATAATGATAATAAGATGGAAGCAATATTTCATTTTTGCGAAGTTATCACGCCATGTGTACACAGGCAATGTTGTTAAATCTCGTTGAAAAAAAAATGTTGCAAGTCATCGATGGAAGACTGCATAGAAAAAGTAAAAACGTATCAAAAGGGAGAATAATTGTGGTAAAAAGTGCTGCCATTCTCCTCCCAGCGATTATTTCCCTTGAAAGTTAACCCTGTAGTTGAAGAATGGAACCAGCGGTCAAACAATGAAATAAAATCTATCTATCAGGTGGACGAGTTTAGTATGGTAGAGCCTAAAGAGAAGAAGCTACAAAAATGTGCTCATTAAAATTTTTTCATATTAACAACTTTTGCTGTTAAAATTGTCTTCAGTGTAATTGATGGCAAAAGCTAGGGATTTGAATGGATAAAATCATCATTTTTGGACAACCGAGAGGAATATAAAGGGAAGATTGCTTTTTGCACACTTTTTTATTTACGGATTGTAATCCATAAACTGTCTCATTTCGTAAGATTATAAAAAATACTTACGCTTCGACATTTTCGACTAATGGGTTCAAATTTTGCCTGATGTCTTTACAACCATATTGCAATTTTTTGTCAACATCATATAAGCATAGTCTTTTCAGGGTTTGGTTTTTTTGTGTGTGTGTGTGTATTTTTTATACAACATCTCCTAAAATGTTCGCGTATTGTGTGCAGCAGAACACAAATTAAGCTGCAAAACAAAACTTTTTAAAATAATAAGCTGTTTTCTAGTTAACAAACGTTTTGTATTGTAGTAATTGATGATCTTATCAAATAGCAAATGAATTACTTGAAAAATGGAAAAGCCTTAAGATTTTTTTCAGTGTCATAGATTTTGAGGCAACCTTGTTGAACACAGTGATAACACAAGACATTGTGTATATGGAGAATCTGAAGAGAAGGACATTTCAGTAGCACCTTCCCTTAAGTGGAAATGACATTTTATTATTTTCGATTGCACTAAAATGTGTTTGCGTGTGCAAGATAAAGAATACTTTTAGAAAATGAAACGAAGCAGCAAATACAAGATGATTTTCTTTATTTTTACAAAGCTCATAAAACGTCAGAAAAAAATCGTGATATGATATATAAAAAATATCGAAAACAAGCAAAGTCACGAACTGATTTTGTTTAAAGCAGGCTCGTGACAAATAGGAACTGTCTCTGTACAACAATTGATATGAAAGCATAATAAAAATAGAGACATTTGTCTCCAATAAAATCTTTGCTAGGTATTGGTGGAAGGTGAC